CACCCTAAACCCCTATAGTAGCCCTGGTGGAACCCTTTAAGTTATTAGGGGAACCCCCAAAACTGTATTCTATCTGTTCCAGGCCCCTAGAGTAACCCACCAGAAACCCGCAAACCCCCAAAAACCCTTAGCAACCCTAAGCCCTGAACCCCCCTAAACCCCAAAACCCCAACAGCCCTCCAGCCCCAGATACCTAACCCAACAGAAACCCGAAAAAAAAAACCCACACGAAAGCTTTATTAAGGCCCCTAAAACCCTAAACCCTAAACCCAACAGAAACCCTAAAACCCTAAACCCACAGAAACCCGAAAACCCTAAACCCTAAACCCAACAGAAACCCGAAAATTCCAAAGGCGGCCAAGGCAGGAGCTTTCGGAGATCTAAGGTCCCGCATGTGGCGGTCATTGGCCCCATGCCTCAGCCGCATCCGGGCTTCAGGGCGTTTGGGGTTTTAAAGGGTTTAAGGTATAGGGTTTAAGGTTTAGGGTTCAAGGTTTAGGGTTAAAGGTTTAGGGTTTAAGGTTTAAGATTTTAGAGTTTAGGGTGTTTTGGGGGTGTATAGAGGCTTTAGCGGTTCAGGGATTTTAGGGTTTATAGGGCCTTAGGGTTTTACAGTGTGGGGCTTTACGGTCTGGGGCTTATAGGGGTTTCGTCGGCAGAAGCGTTCAAGCATTTAGGCTTTTCGCTTTTTCGTTGAGTTGATATCTGTGGCCTCAAAGGAATCAGCAAACCTAAATTAAAAAAGTAATCCTTTTCGGCTACAGGTAAGGGCTTACAGGGCTTTCAGGAGCCTTCTAGCGCTTTCGCTGAGCCTAGAAGCTTGTACCCATAGACTCCAATGTCCCTTAATGAAGGAATATACCTTAAATCATATTAGGGATCCATTTATCAATTAAGGTATATTCCTTAATTAAGGGACATTGGAGTCTCTGGGTACAGGGCTTGAATGTTCGGCGCTTTATGGCTTGGGGGTTTGAGGCTTCAGGGCTTCGTGGCTTTAGGGTTTCGTGTTTCCGATGAGTTGATAAGGGAATCGCCATAGCATTCAAGGGTTCAAGGCTTTGGGTTTCAGAGAAACCCTAAACCCTAAACCCTAAACCCTAAACCCTAAACCCAAAGCTCTAAACCCCTAATAAGGCTTTGCAGGGCTTCAGGCTTCTGGGGTTCAGGGTTCTCGGGTTTGGGGTTTATGGCCAGCTCCCGAACCCTAAACCTTCAATCCACAAACCCTGAAACCGCCACCCAGGCCCCCGGAAAAATCCAGAAAGTAGAATCCCTAATTTGGGACCCTATACTACTAAAGGCTCTTTGTAGGAACCCCCATTAAGGGATCTACTTTTTGGATCCTCCCGGGGGTCTGGACAGGAATCACGCAGTTGGCAACTAAGCCGATTTGGTACAGAGGCTTGAACCGAAACCTACAGCAAACCCCGAGAAACACACAGTAAGATTTTAGGCTCGTGTAGTATTAGCTAGTTCTCGTTCGTTCGTTGGTGTTCCGGCAGCCGGAAGCATACTTGCAACAATCTTCAGAGACCGTATTAGCAAAGGGAATGAAACCTCAACCCACACTTCTCCTACTGTAACAACTCTATAGAACAAACCTCGAAGTCTAGCTTTCAACAGCTACGAACGGGCCAATGCTTTGCGCAATGACATCCCACATACAATACCAGGGCAATAAACTTTCGAAACATGATCCGCTTTTCGTCCTTTATAACGTATAGTATAACCCAAACTCTAGGCTGATGAAGGCCCTACCATAAACATGACAGAAAGCCGCTGAACAAACACTATGATTGTTATTAAGGTCCCTGCATCAAACCTTGTATCTAAGCATCTGTTATAAAAGCCTAAATAATTACCAATATTGTTGTTAGGGTTCCTTATTCAACACATATACTATGAAGGATCCCAGAAACCTATTCTAGCTATTAAGACCCATACACTTAGCGGATACGGACTGCCCAAAACATTTCAATAAACGACCCCAAGACGCGAACGCTTTAAAGACCTCAGACCGCTTTGAAGACCTTGAACACCTCAAACAGCCCAAAGACCCTATATAAACCCTAAAGCCAGACAGAGCCCAGAGGGAACGCCCATAGAACCGATATGAAACCATCCTCAAAACCCGTTAAGGTCACCATAAACTCTAGAATCTCACAAACCCCTTATGAATGAAGGCCCCATGTACCAAACCTCTGCACAAGCCTGTACAAGCCCTGTAAGACTTTAAGCAGGAGCCTCAGAAAGCCCTGTAAACCCTGAACGAGCACTTGCAAGCCCAAAAAAGACCTTGAACAAAACAGCAAACCCCTCTCGCACCCTAAGAATAGCATATTATAGTTGACAATAGTAATCATCACACGAATAGTAATGACAGGTAGAAAGAAGAATAATAATAGATCTTCGTATCATTGCTATGGTTACTAGCACTGTTATTGCGGTTTTTGCTGCAAACACGATGAAATACTGGCAATAGTCATTACTAACATTGTTATGTATTCATCCGCTTTGAACCCTAAACCTACCCATAGGCCCCATAGTAGTTCTTTTTGGGGATTACCTACTAGGATCCTAAATATAAGCCACAAGAAGGAACTACTATGGGGCCTATGGGTACCCTGAAACCCTAAACCCCTAAACCCTAAACCCTAAACCCCCAACCCTATACCCTAAACCCCTAAACCCTAAACCCTAAACCCCTAAACCCTAAACCCTAAACCCCTAAACCCTAAACCCTAAACCCTCAACCCCTAAACCCTAAACCCTTTGGGCTGCCCGACAGACTCCGCAGACCAGCCCGCGAGCGATGTGACTGAGGATCTCGAGGGCTTTCCGCTCCTGGCTGAAAGTCTGAAACCCTAAACCCTAAACCCTAAACCCTAAACCCTAAACCCTAAGGGTCCATGTACCCAAATAGAATATACATTGGCCTTAATGTAGTTCCTATTTGGGTACTTTGGGGTCTAAGTATATGCTATATGGGCACATGGACCCTTAGGGAAAGGCTCCTAAAGACCCTTTAGTAGAGTTAAGGTGGAGGATGTAGGATTCGGGGTTACAGTATACGAAGGATTTCAGTTTAGGAGGAGCACAAAGCATGTTGCAACTTGGGGTTTAGAGGTTTAGAGGTTTAGGGTTTGGGGTTTTACTTGGAGATCCATGGGACGTAGTAAGTAAAGTTATAAGTACCCTAATTGGGGTTATATAAGTAATTATGAAGTCTAGTCACCTTATTTATAACCCTAGTTACTAAGTCCCATGAACCTCTAAGTAAAGACCCTTTAAGGGGTCCCCTTGAATGGTGCCCAAGTCTATACGATTTTGGGTACATGGACCCTTAGGGCTACTCAACAGCGCAGCAGAATCCCGCAGGGATGACCTCCAATTCCTCCTGTGACATCGCCGAGGGAGCGGGCCTCTGGTACTTGGAGGGTCATGGGGCTTAGTAAGTAAGGTTATATGGGGCCCTTTAAGGGATCTATAGCGGG